CACACACACACACACACACACACACACACATATATATATATATATCATATATTATTTATTATATATATACACATACTATATATATATATATATATATGCTTATATTCCAAACCACACACCAACAACTAATCCCGAGTTCGAGATCAGGATCTAAAACATGAAATATACACCCCACTGCCTCCTAGACATACATGTGCTGGTTTACAGAACTGTTGTCCTGGGCCGATAGATCCGCCCCACAAATCGGACACGGCACGGTCTCCCGTTCTACTGATGCTGGCCTGTGCTTGGGCATCCCCAGTCCATCGGGTGTACTTGCTTGTGCATGTTTCCAAGAACTCGAAGACCTCTGCCTCGCCAACGTACCTGCACCATCATGCACAGCCCTCAGCTTACCTGTGTTCTTGTATTTCTTAGATTTACTGGTCGCCTCAAATAAACTCGTCGGTTTTCTTTTCTTCGCACCCACAGATACTGTGTGTCTACCCGCACCCACACCTCTAAGCACACTCCCAGGCAACTTTGTACTCGCAACCAAAGGCGTGCCTTTGAGGGACGTGCGTGTACATGCATCTCGTGCCGTAGACGCTAGCCACCGCTCCAGCTGTGTTCCCTTGCGCTTCTTAGCAGACACAGACAACCCTTTCCCGTCTAGAGTAGGACTATCATCCCTACTATTCGTCCTCATCTCCTTATTACTTACATCACTATCTAGACATACACTTTCACATACACTTTCACCTAAACTTGAATCTGCTATTGTACCTTTGACGATGGTATTAGTAGCTTCAGCAGTTGCACTAGTCATGTTGCCAGCACTGATTGTGTGGGTGGGGTCGCACAGCTCTCCCTGCCCCTGCTGAGTATGGTCTTCACCATAGCTCGCTATAGCGGTTGCACTGTCGTCTTTGGTTCCGATACGCACCCCCTCACTATCATGACAGCTTCCTCCGATTTCAGTACACTTCCCAAGATGTTCGCGAATATCCTCCATGTCTCTCGGGCGATGATCTATAGGTGTTGAGTTGACTGCTATTCTCTGGACGTCTGTCTCAAAACTGGATTCGTCTCTAATCGCGTGCCTCTCTGTAGTCGTACCTGTATTCTTATTTTTATCATTTGAAGAACCCGAAGGAGCTATCACAGGCACAGCCTTCACAGTTCTACTAGGTCCACTTGTCCTCTCAATATTAACCCGAGTGCTGTCACACATATATTCCTCAATACCATAACGATGGCGTAATTTCTCGAATGTCTTCTTATTGTCAGCACTGTTGCTTACTTCTTCCTTCAACCGCTCTACTCCATCCCCAAACAACCCTCCCCTCTCATCCAGAGCCCAGCTGTCGCATGGTTTGGAGATGTTAGCGGGTGCACGAGCACGAGCCAGCTTATTGGTACCTACAAGTTCATTATCTGTTCCGCCACGAGTTTCACAGTCTTGCATTCGCTCTGTCGTATCACGACTATTTATTACATCACCCACCCTCCCTTCAGAATATCCCACGCCTGGTTCATTTGTTAGTTTATCCTGTATTAAAACTTCCACTCCTGATGATGTATGTGAATTCTTCGCATCAACCACTCTACTATCACCGCAGCCAACTTCCACCCCACTCTCACGTACCAAACCATTCCCACACGGACCCCCCTCGCTATAGTTCATCCAGACAATATCGGGACGCTCACAGCATTTCATATCGGCACTGTTCAGAGGGTTAACACCGATCTCCTGGCCGATACTGGTGATACCGGTATTACCACTGACAATACCGGGACTAGCAGTACGGTTCCTGTCTGCATTTTCGCGTGTCCCAACTGCATGACCAGAGCTTGCATTATCATAAGTCGTACCGCTATCCTCGCTCACCATACCGTTATTCCGAACACCGTCCATACCCACATCAGCCAAGGTATTCTTCAGAGTATTTCCCCCTGATACCTGCTGCCTGCGTAAGCTTTGTCGGTTCCCAAAGTACGATGTGATGTTCTTCTGCACCGGAATGTTCTCGGATGTGTGGCTCTCTGAATCGTTCACTTCCGCCAGATGGGTGATGCGCACTCCCAACAGTCGCAGCTTCAGCATGCCACCTGATATAGACAATACATATATATTTAGAATTCGGTTTGATATGCACGGAGTCGAGCTAGTAGGATGCAGCTGATTTATGATGTGTACACCCAGCTGTCGTAGCTACGGACTGCCACAAGAAAAAAACATGTTCCAAAGTAGTGGTGGATTAATAATTCGTATTCAAGAAGATTAGTAAGTTAGTTTATCCGGTAGTGGATTGCGGGTCCTGGACCGCTCGTTTCCATGAGTATGTGATATCCCACACACATCGCGTCTATATTAAAATTAACAGTTATTTCACAGGTAGGAACCATGACTATATCAAGGAAGCGTCTGGCTTCGGAGATTATCGCAGTGGGCGATTGGTAAGCTACACATGTTCATAAAAAAAACTTCTTCTATCTACTATAAACCAAGTTCAAAATAGACCAGATAAACTCACCAAGGCTTTGCCCCGTACTGACAACATCATAAATAGACCTACCACGAGTTTGCTCCTTGGTAAGCAAGCGAATGGTCTCAGCCGATATCACAGTCAGCGATTGTGTGGGATCGGTCAAACTGGACGCACGCGTAATCACTTTGAAGTCCGTGAATTTGAGCTTCAAGGTAACTGTTCGCCCCTATTTCCAAAAAACGGGAATGAATAGACTAAAACTGGGCAACCCCTTCGACGTGAATATTCGAATTTGATTTTAAAAACCGAGATTGGGTGGGTCAATCGTGTATATACACCTAGATTTTAGCACCATTTATCGGGCATACACGGTCTTCGTCTACCTATCTTTCAACGCAACTAGAAAAAACACGCGAATACAGTAAACATACCTTCAGTCCGAGCTTCTTCATATCCGAATAAACCAACCGACACAGGTTGTGGCATGTGGCCATTTGTTCGTGGGCACTGGTCTGTTCACCGAACGTTCTGTTGTGGGCAAGGTTGCTTGCAGCTGAGTGTGTGATAGAAACATTTCCATCTGGTGTTCTTGCGTATCGGATGTTTTGTTTTACGTGCGCTCGTTGTTGAGTGTGTATATGTCACTATATATGCGTTGTTGAGTGTGTATATGTCACTATATATGCGTTGTTGAGTGTGTGGTATGATCTGTTCGCCTATATGGCACTATATATGAGCCGGTCTATTTTATCGTGTGCTGTGTTGCTCGCAGTCGAAGGTGAAAATAGAAACTCGCTCGTATGTGATTGTGTATAAGACTCTCCATTTCCGTGTATTTACGCGTAGACATACCTAGCTGCTGGAGTGTCTGTTACAGTTTGAGTAGGTGTTCCAGGGGGTTGTTTCAACGCATGTGATAGACCGTGTTAGCCACATTAAGTGCGTGCTAGATCAAAAAAGAACAAGATGACACCGAAATTTAAAAATACCACTGACCGATCCCAACTGTTGTCAGCTTTCATACAGCTCATAAGCAACGGCAAAATATGAACTATACTACACATCACATCAATGCATGTGTTCGGATTATTGTACTATCGCCCAGATACATGCATTCAATGAATATGGAAATAAGCTTCGCTGTGCAAGAGACTTCTTCGTGTACACCGGTAGGTGTATCTCATTATTGACCGGCAGAGTGTTCCAGCTAACACACGTACATGTGGTGGAAGCGGCGTGAGCTCAGAAACAAATTACCCAATCATTACACAAAAAGTAGGCTGTACCAATGATTCAATACAGTAAAAACATTCGGATAGGATAGATACGGGCCAAGACAACCTATCGACATTCGTACCCTTGCATCGTATTTCTTTATGATAAGCAGCCAGAGAAGGTGATGATATGGGACTGGTGTACGCGAACTTGGGCCAAGAATATAAAGCAGCAATGTAAAGTGTTCTCACAGATACAATGCAATACTCGAAAAATACCAAAACTGATAGCAAACGCTCGACAGTTGTCAATAGCTAGAGTAAAATAAACAGTATAGTCGCCTGTATTCAATCCACACACATAGTTGGTAGGATCCATAAGAAACAACTCTTTGAACGTACAATTTCCAAGCACTTCCGTGCCTTGATATCTCCGGTCGTATGGTCGCACAAGCGGATCACGAAGACAGCCCGAATTCACAAAATATGCTTGAACGAGGTACAAGACTCTTAGTATACAAATGCAAAGTAGGGAGTGTATGCGTGTAGACACATATATAAGAATCCACATACGTGTACAAAGAACAACCCACAAGGACTTCGGATAGGGATATTCTATCAATAGAGTATGATAAGGGTACCTTTCATGACCGATGCTCTTCCTTTCACGCGCTTCGGGTCTGGTTCTGCCAATTCCCAGAGACACTCGTGAGAAAAAGCCAAAACTTGACGGCTGAAACATCAGTGAAAGCGCCCCCAGCATGTTGTACTGGTGCCAAAAACAATAAATTGACAACAAGATTAGGAAAAGATTAGCTAAAAAAAAATGTAGCTAAATGTTCTGCGTGAGCCAAAACTCTACGACAGAACTATGAGCGAACGCACACTCAGCAGTTTCAAAGAACATCGGGCACTCGCCATAATATGCAAAGGCAATTTTGAGAAAGAATATTAGAATCAAAACAACCCAATCAACAATGTTGCGTAGGTGCGACTGTGGGCATGTAAACGTTTGTTTATATATCTGAATGAATGCGGATGATCTGGTTTGTACAGTATTATGACTGTGATATCAGTTGTGCTTCACATCGTTAGCGCATGTTCAAAAGCATGCAAGTTTACGCAGTTCACACGCTATTGTCCGCCTAAGAATTGCACTACACACACAGCAAACTACGTAGATCTGATCTGAACCGTGAGCACATACCACAGTGCATATTAAAAATCAACCTCGACCCGGTATGTAGTATCTGCAAGCATAGAAAAACCACTGATATGCATATTGTACGTACAAATACTATATATGTATATATATATA